AAAAAAAAAAAAAAAAAAAAAAAAAAAAAAAATAGGTAGGGTTTGTGAAAAGGAGGTTGGGTGACCTCTTAATTGAACTGGTAGCCATGCATCTATGCATTTTTATGGCGCCTACAGCTATACTGCTGGAGTACTCAGACAAAGATAGTTCACTATCAATAAAATCACTAGAGAAAGGAATAAAATAAATCCTAATGCCTACATAGTAGTCTCTGCTTTCATAAGTTTATACAGTGCAAAAACACAAACCTTGTACTGGATTTGCTACTTATACACACATTCACTTCCCCAACCTCAATTCTGCTCCCCTTCAGAACAGAACCTCAGAGAGTACTTCTTCAGGGAAGGTGAGGAATGACAAAAACATGTTAAGATGGTAAAACTAATGAGGCAAAAAGATAGATATCACTTCCATGTATTTTATATTTTTTAGGCAAGAAGCAAAGATGGAATATTGCTAAATCTTCCCCGTCCTTAACCTAGAATTAAACACTTTCTCCTCTCCAGTCCATCTTTCATTGTATGTACACTGTTTGTGGTGTGATTAATATTATGCTGACATTAAGTTGATTTTAAATTATCTCCTATGAGAATTTGAGCTCCTGAAGAAAACAGTTCCTTCCTGTGTTCTCTTATCCCCAGTACCTTCCACAGGATGCCTGGCCCAGCCAAGGAGTTCAGTAACTGCTAAACTGAACAGGTGACTTTTCAATTGTTTGGTGTTCTGACACTGTACCTCTGCCAGTGACTGAAAAATATACTAATCTCACACCTTAAAGTGGAGTGCGACTAATAAAATGCAAAAGGAGGGCAGAAAAGGTCTTTATCTCTGCTTGATGTCCCCCTTATTAGGGCCTGGCAAGGGAAAATGAGGCACATCCCCCTGGTTTATGGGATTTGGAAACCTTACAGTGTTTGGAAGTTGCAGACAAGCACCTCTTATGATTCACTGGCCCACACACCACAGAAGCTGAGCAGAGGATGAAGTCAGATGCATAGGGAGGCCCTCCAGAAATGTCAACTGGCTAAAATCATGAATGACAGGAATATTTTACACATTCAAAAAATACAAAGATTAGAGAAATCTACCATATTCTGATGTCCACAGAGTGCCTCAAAATCCTAACAACTGCTGTGGTGAAC